ATAGTTTGATAATAGAAAATAAAAAATATGTAACTTTTAAATAGATACCTCAACTAATGTAGGTATCTCACCTACAAAAATAAATGAAAATTATTATTAACTGTTTTTGAAAACTCATTAGCAAATAAAAAATTAAAAAGTATTAATAATCAACATATTATTGAAAAATGATATTATGTGTTATAATTTGGTGGATCAGTTTGTAGTGATAAAGACTGTTCAGTCGCTAAAGATTGCATAGGATGATGAATGGGTGGGAATGGAATAGGTTGTGATGATTGCATGGGTTGTACAGGTATTGGATATTGATAAGAATAAGTTAAATTGTTATTCATAGGTTGAGATGATGGTACAGACAGTTCTCTCATGATAACCTCTTGAATTTGTGTTCTTACTCTTAATTTTTGTAATGGAGTCATGTTACCGAAATAAGGGTGAATTGATTTTAAAAAATACATGTCCTCGTCGTCTTTTACTGCATTCCGTGATGAGTCAATAAAAGCTTCAATTTTTGTTTTTTCGAGTTGCAGTAATTGTTGTTCGAAACTTATTTCATCCTCCTTTTTTTTCATTTTTTTTTGTCCACTTGTTTTTGCACTCTTTGAGCTGTTTAACTCGGCAATAGGAGAATTATTTCTCGTCATTTGTGTTTGTGCGTCATTCTGAGGTACTAATGAATCCATACCTTCAATACTATGTGTCGTATCCTTATCAATATCTTCCTCATCTTCTGTGTCTCCATTAGAATCTGATTTATGTTCGTATGAACGCCCTACCTCAATATCATCGTCGTCGTCATCATTAGAAAATGTACCCGACGTATTTCTAGGTGTCTCTATGTCTTTCAAAAATTGCATAGGCATAAAATAAGACCATTTCCCGTGGTATTTTTCTTGGCCATCTTGAGACGATCCTGATCTCGGTTTTTTTACTTTTTTTAGTTCTTTTTTAAACTGATCCCTTAAATTTCGCCACCTTTTTTTCGCTTCATTGGCTAAAAATAAACGAACAGTATTTAAGATTTTGAACGGAGTGATAAATGTATTGATTTTAAAACAAGGTGTTTTTTTTAATTTTTTTTTTTTTTGTGTGCTATTATCGATATTTATAAAAAAAAACTTAACAAAAACGAATATTTCAAATGCCTATAAAATATAACATTAAAATAAGGGAAATATTTTGAAAATTAAATCATGTAAAGAAAATGCTAATCTAAATAACTAGTAAAATGTTCAAGTATCTAATATTTATACTTTTTGAATAATAACAAATATTTAAAATCTTTTGGGGATAAATCGTTATCGTTACGCAATTTCTTAAAAATTTAAAATTCAACGTACTTAAAATTTTTCTTATAATGATGTTTCGAGTTTTCTACTTGAAGGAAAACTTATGGAAAACTAACCTTAGATATAAACACAAAACATTTTATGATTTTTCAACTACAAAATTACTTGCAAATTTTCGCGATTTTGACATATATCATAAAAATTTGAACTATAAACGCTTATAAAAAAAAAATTTAGATTATATATAATTATAAATAGGTCTGTGAATTTAATGCACTAAAATCCCTTAAAAAAATGCAATAAATATGCTTTTAAAATGCCAAAAATTATAGTATAAAATGCACTTAACACGTTCAACGCCGCCCGTGATTTCAGCAATTATACCGCGACGCCGCGTTGCAGGCATCCGTTGTAGTATCGTATATAACGCCAAATGAAACAAATTATTGTATTTTCAATATTATTAGTGGCAAAGTAGCCATATTGCATGATACAGTATGTTACTATTATTAAATAACAGTAGAAAAATTCATAATATAATAATATATCTAATATACACCCTGTATACGTTCATATACATTTTCTTGGGAAGGCCGTCAAAAACAACGATTATCAGTATCTAATAATAACGAAAACTCAAACCAATTATAGATTTAAATTTAGAGTTTATTGTCTACAGCCTGTGTACATTTCAGAGTTTATTAAAATAAAATCGATTAAATTATGGCGGATACAAACGTACATGTTACTGACGCGTAAACGCGTCACTGGCCCAATGGAATAAACTCTGTTGCCGCGTATACGCGTCAGCGGCGTTGAAAGTGTTAAAATGGTTTTTATTTTAATTTTTATATTTATAAAAGTTTTATTAATTGATTTGTTGTTATATAATTCAAACTATGTACGTATAAAGCTACGTTTCACAATCATCAAAAAAAATGCACTTTCCTACAAATTCATAGCCCTTTCTATAAATTCAAGTCCAACGATATTCCATTATTTATTTTATAGATACCTATCTCGCCACAGGAATTGCGTTCCGACAAATTGCGATGAGTTTCAGAGTATCAAAAACTAGTGTTAGTTCTATTGTTATTGAAGTTTGTCAGGCAATTTGGACTACACTGCGTGACGTACATATGCGAAAACCAACAATTAAAGATTTTGAAAATACTGCAGACGCATTTTACAATAAGTGGAACTTTCCAAACTGCATAGGTAGCATTGATGGAAAGCATATACGAGTTAAATGTCCAAATAACTCTGGCAGTATGTATTATAATTATAAAAATTTTTTTTCAATCGTTCTATTGGCTATTGTTGACGCAAACTACCGATTTGTGTTGATCGATATCGGAGCATATGGTAAGGACAGTGATAGTGGTGTTTTACATAATTCAAAAATATACCATCGTATTGACAAAGGAACATTAAAAGTGCCTAACGCAAAATTACTTCCAAATACAACAAATATGGCACCTTTTGTATTTATAGGTGATGAAGCTTTTCCTTTGAGAGAACATTTGTTAAGACCCTTTCCGAAAAAACAATTAAGTGACGAGAACAAATCGTATTATAATTATAGGTTATCTAGAGCTAGAATGACAGTTGAATGCGCATTTGGCATAGCGGCATCAAAATTTCGTATACTTCAAAAATCGATTGAAACAAAAATCGAAAATGCTGACCATATCGTCAAAGCTATTTGTATTTTGCATAATGTGATTATTAATCTTGAAAAAAATCAATCAGATATAAAAAATATAGAAAATGAAAATGGGATATTAAGTAAATATTGTTTGGATAGTATTCAAGGTGGCAGATATACTAATAGAACATCTCAAACCGTTCTAGAAATAAGAAATACATTTGTACAATATTTTAAGGACAACAAAATATAATATCATATTCTACTTTTATTTCATGTTATATTATGTTACTTGTTTTTTTATATTATGTTTAATGCATACATATGATCTTAGTTTATTATATATTTATATTACCTATTAGCTATAAAAAAAAAACATCTACATGTAACTTATATAACCAATAATTTTAGTACATAGGTATTTATTTAACTAATTATTATTTTTTTTCCATTAACTAAATTGTATTTTAAAAAACTACAATAAATTAAGTTTGAGGAAAGTTTAATAAAGCTATACTTACCAGTTATTCCTGTAGCTTTTGAAACCTCTGCCCATGCTTTGGCTCCTACAAGCCTATCTTTGTATTTTTATGCTTTTGTTCCATAACACATTATGCTTTTGGACTTCAAAAATCAACAATTCTGTTTTTTCAAAATCTGTATACGTCATTTTGTACAGAAATGTAATTAACAAATAACAAATAAATTTAAACAATGTTGATCATCCACTTTCTATTGCGATGACGCATATCGCATGCGACGAAAAACAAACTATTTTGTATTTCAAACGTGCGGGTGCGGTGCGTTATCGTGAATTAAACGCATGCGTCAGCAATCAGGACAGTCCGATCTATTTCTGGACGTTTGTTTTTATTAGAAATCGCATGCGTTACACGCATTGCGATTTGCGGTGCGTGCACGCACCAGCTAGGACATAGCGTAG